TTATAATATCATGAGGATAATAATCTTAATACTATGTAGGGGCACATGTGAACTGTTCACATCTGCCCCAGATGATTTGTTCACAAGTGCCCCATCATCCTTCTTAAACCTTACTTGAAAAATAAAGAACTTTTAATTGAGTAAAAAAAAAAATTAATTGTCATAAACTTACCTGAATGTTCATATAATGGTCTGCAATAGTTAATTTCAGTTTATTAGTTGATTTATACTATGCTTTCACTTGAAGAAGCTAGTGATTATAATATATACAACACCAACTGATACAAAGAAATTGTCAGAATAGAACAACAAAATGTCTCATTGTACTGAAAGTTTCGCAGAGAGGTAGGACTAGTACTGCCATCAATTGAAAATTTTTCAAGATTTTTTATTTCAAATCATATTGGTAAAACATACCATGTTCACATGTGCCCCCTGTTCACAAGTGCCCCCCTCTCCCCTACAAATTTACTTCGAAACTTTTATAGAGGAAACTTGTTCTCTTGTGGCAAAATTTTGCTGAGACAACAGATTTATTTGTGTTGGAAAAACGCGTTCTGTTATGGTAAAAACCAAGCCTGATTACTGATTTTCTTCACAATTTTTACTGAAAAAGTTGTTTTTGTATGGTAAAAACAGTTGAGACTGCGGATTGACTTCGTAAATTTTAATATTACGCCGCTGTGGCTCAGGGGATAGAGTGTTCACCTCCTAAGGAGATCACCCATGTTCGAATCCCAGCGGTGGCTGGTTAATACGAATTGCGCACCCGGATCGCATACAACGCAGTGCTGTCCTAAATATCCTCAGTGGTAAACGGATCATGAGTCAGAATCTTGCCGTCGGGCTAAACGTAGGAGTTTTTTGTGGTTTTCCTCTAAGTATAACGCAAATGCGGGTTAGTTCCATCAAAAGGTCCTCCACGAAGGCTAGCTTGTCCCAATACTTTATCCAGTTTCCTTGTGTTCTGCGTTGGTTTCAAAATTACTAGGCTACGGAGTTGATAATTGGTAGTCGTAAACTCAGAATTCGGTCAGCTGTTCAATGCCGGTTGCAAAACATGAAATTATAAAATTAAAAAAAGCAATCTATGATACTATTCTAATCATATGTATCAAAGCATATCAAATTACGAATCTAACACTGATTCTAGCCTTGGAGAAAACTTTTGTAATTTTTTTAACAAATCATGAGGCAATTTTATTAATTGGAAGAGTAATCAGCAAAAAGATTTTAACAAAGTTATATAATTCTTACAAAAAAATGGTTTTTATTGATGTTGTAGGGTTCTTGTGGAGGCATAATAAAAATCTAAACTTAAAGCTCTCACAACAATTAAGTTTAAATTTAATTCACAGTATAATTTTTTTAGTATCGACAAGTTAGCAAGCGAATGTAAGAGTATTACGTTTATCAATAATACTCTTATGTTTGTTGGCGGTCAAAATAAGTGAAGTAATAAATAAGTAAGTAAGGTTACTTTATATAGGCTGCAATTGATAAAAAAATGGCTGCTTAACAAATGGCTGCAATTGATAGTTTATATTTTACTGTGTGAAAGATTTTTATAAGTAGAAATTCAATGTTTTAATACAAGTCCAAAAGAGTATTGCTTTAACCCTCTGACGCAGAATTTTTATTAAAACTATTTTTCATACTTTTTTCATCATTTAGTATTAATGTAGGTCAAAATAAATAAAAAATATTATATTTTGTATTTTAATAATTTATGGTTATTAAATACAGCATGAAAGTCCGGTGTTTTTTTTCTGCGTTAAAGGATGAATCTTCCTAACATGGCTCACTTCAAAATGTTTTCAAATTTACAATTATTTAGATCTAAAAGAAATAGTTATTCATTGTTGAAATTTCTCTAATTTGCAAAATCAATTATTGATAATCTTTTGAATATGAATTGGAGTGTTTCAAACTACTTTTTTTTTTGGATTTTATATTTCAGTTCAAATATAATTCCGATGATCCAACAAGTTATTTTAGTAACTATAAGACTGCATTGTATAATTAAAAAATACCGAAATATATTTTTGCTTGTAATCAGAGCGTCAGGAAAAAAATATATGAAAAGAACACCAGTGTCCCATCTGCGTCAAATGGCTTACAGAAAATCAAAGTAAGTACTTTAAACTTATTTATCCATACTGAAGATAATTTTAAGTATTTAAGAATTTTCTTATGTTTTTATGAAATAAACCTTGTATTAAAATACCATTTTCTTAAGTGTGAAATGTAAAATTGTCAAAATCATGCAACCGAACGCAACACCGATAGTTTTTCTTAAACATCTATTTTTTTTAACCCGTTCAAGACATTTAATTTTTGTTTTCTGTCACATGAAATATTTTAATGGATCTTAGATATTTTGACGCCACTGATTTCAAATCTGCAATTGCTTTCTCTCTCCAAACTACAGTAACAATTTTAGCCTATTTTCTTGTCGAATTGCGCAAGTTTAAAAATGTTGTACTAAACGGGAGGAAGCGTAATTGTTGTAACAAACTTCTAGCGGAGGTAGGACACACAATCAGCATTAAAATCAC